GTGATTGTTGTTTTGGCATTGGGATCATTCATGTTGACCTGTAGCATCCAGTGGTCATAATTAATGTCAAAAACCAACTTGTTGCATAAATTGGTAAAAGAAAAAGTGAAATGCGATGCATTTAACCCTTGATAAGTATTACTAAATAACAAATTAATATACCTTAGCCTTGAGAATTGAGGAAAAATCATAGAAAGCTCTGTACACATCAGCCATAGTTTTAGTCCGATCAATTACTTTTGCAGTAAGACCTACATAAAGACACACCAACAAAGTAAAAAAAAGCAGCATTCAGTTAATAATAACAAAATAAATAAATACTTACCACGTCTCATTTTCACTACACCCCTGAAAACTTCAATGTTGTTGTAGCATAGAGCTAGTGTTCCAATCGCCATGATCTGATAAAGTCAGTAGGATGAAAAAGGGGTAAATTTAAGAAATGAAAGTAGGATGCTGTATATATATATATATATATATATATATATATATATATATATATATATATATAATAATAATAATAAAGTAATCAATGAAAGTAGGTTGCTATTCTTGCATTTAACTTGACAAAAAAGTACCTGTGGAATGGCACAAAACTTGAAGATAGCAGGATCACGCAATTCAGACATGTATTTTAAACAGTCTTCAATGTGGATTAAAGCGTTAGTGACCATATCATTCAGACATTGAACAGCCTTCTCAGAGTTCTCTTCATACTTCAGCTCCTGGAAGAATAAAACTTTAGATATTATTTTTTTAACTTTTATTTATATGTAAATATATATACTTTTACATACCTCTAGTTTATTGACATATTTACTCCAGATCTCGCGAGGCCAAAACATACGTGACTTGGGTATCTCGTTTATATCCTCCAGATAATCTCTGATGATGTTTGTTTTCTGTAAATTATGACCAATAAGACAATGTCCAATTAGAGTTTAAAATACAGTTGAATGCAAGAAATAGCAATGTAATTTGATCAACAAACAACTAAATGAAAGTATGTTGTTATTTTAAAGTATAATGCATTAAAAAGCTGAGTGTGTAAAAATTACCTGGAGAAACAAACCCATTGAATTGGAGATGGAATCTGGAAACAACTTTTCTGTGCCTGAGGCATGGAAGAGTTTTGACAACCCTAATCCAACAAGTCCAGCAACATAATGACAATACTCATCATAATCATCAATTGTCTCAACCTGCAATTGCAATTGCAAAATCAAATTAAAATTCATTTTCCCTTTCAACAGCAACAGCTTAGAGACGGGTAAAACTTGTCTTAAAATTTCTCTTAACCGAAACTAGAGAATGCAATGTTGATGGAAAATGCAAAGAATAGCAACGTACTTTCAAAGTACAGTGTGGTAAGTTGTAAGAAAAAAAAAAGAAAGTAAGATGCTATAACAAACAAATCAAAGAAAGCAAGTTGCTATATTTACATTTAACCCTATAAATAAGGGTAAATGGGGAAAACAGCAACATGCTTTCATCCTACTTTCATTTTAGCATTGTACTTTCAAACTTTTTCTTATCAAGGCAAAAAACATTCCTACTTATAGCTTTGTATTGTCGTTTTTTTTTCTTATTAGAACATTATACTTTGAAAAATCTACCAATGAAATTGCACAAAAAAGCAAAATACTTTCATATCTTCTTATTATACCATTGTATTTTCAACAAATTTCTTATTAAGGGATTATACTTTGAAAAACAAAACCTAATTATAGTATTTTACTTTCGATTTTATACTTATTAGAACATTATTCTTTGAAAAAACTAACCAATTATAGCATAGAAAATTTCTTTGTATTTGGATGACATTGCTATAAATTGGTTAGGTTTTTCAAAGTGAAATGTTGCAAGAGGAAAAAATGAAAGTACATTGTTATTTCTTGAATTTAAACAATGATAATAATTACCTCTTTGCAGATAAATTTTGCCATCCCTGCACCCATTCTCAGGGTTATATCCTCAATTGCCTCCTGGTAACTGCAAAATAATTGGAGTATTGCAAATCAAGTTTTTTTCTTAAAAGATGCACAAAGCATATACAGAAAGACCATAGCATAGATGCATTTAAATGGCTTAAAATGTCTACAAATGTTCACAAGTGGCAATTCTTGTTTTTAAATATAGATTCATTATAAGCTTTTATTAGCACATGCCAAAGATAAAAATTAGTTGCCAGGTTTTAAAAAGGATTAAAAAGCACAACATACTTTCATCATTATATCATGGTTTAATTATTACAGGAAAAGGATAAGTGGCTAATCAATAATATGGTGATAGCATAAGTGCTTTTCCATATTTTGCCTTCATATCAAAACCAGGTATGTGGATTTGTTTAAACGTTCAAAAAAGTGTATAATGGTTAATCATTACAGAAAATAGTCAAATCGCAATAAAATGGTGAAAATATAAATGTTTTTCGGCATTTTTCCCAATCTATTTCATGATGAGAACAAACAAACTAAAGTTCGGGTTACCAGAAGCATCAACATGTAATATGAAATATTTATGGCTATTGTGTGTCACTTTCAAAGAATAAAGAATAGGATAGATGATGAGATCAATGATTAGAGCCAAGATTATTTACAATATGTAAAAGCTATTATCGTAACTATTATTATTGTTAACACTATTATTATTGTTTTTGTCAATATTCTAGATTAATCCTTGCTAGATCCATATACAAATTGAAAACCGAGTAAGATGACAAGAATATCACTTGTTTAATTGCTTACTTTAATTCATAATCCATTAATACTATTTAATGATAAAATATCCAAAAGCATTAATTTATATGTAAAATTTACCCTTTCTTAAGCTCCAGAAAGGCAGCAGAAACGTGATGGAACTGGTCCATGAGAACCTTGTATTCCTTTGTACCACCTTCAGAAAAAAAAAAAAAAAAAAAAAAAAAACAGCATTAGCTTTGACATATCATGTGAACAAAGGTTGGAAATGTAGAAAATAAAATTGTAAATTGGTTAAAATCATAAAGATTTTAGAAATGATTTGAATCATTAAAATTACATAAACAAAAAAGAGTTATATTGCATTTTTCCATTCTATTCCATGATGGAATGGAGAAAAAAATGCCCCTAACAAACAATTCTTTTTTCACTCTAATGGAATGAACAATTCCATTCCAATTCCAAAATACCAAACACAACCTAGTACTCACATGCAAAGTGCCAATCACGATCATAGATATGCTGATGAAAGGCAATCAGAATTGGTACTTTGATTTCAGCATCTATACTTGTATCATCCTCTGCAAAAATGAAAAGTGCAGAATTAGTAAGTAAATCATGTGCAGAATTAGTAAGTAAATCATGAAAATCAAATGATTTTTGTACGCATCTTAGGAGAAAAGAAAAAACAAAAATAACAACAGTCAACAGCAACATATCAAGAGGGTCAATAATGATACATCTTCTCAAGTTTTTTAATACTTATCAAAGAAAATCAGAAAACTAGAAAATTTGCTTAAAGGTATTTAGACCTACCAACAGTGTCAAGGGCACGAAGAACCAAATAGAAAATGCAAACCTGCAGTGTATAGTGTCAAAATTATATTAGAAAGTATGTAGCAAAACAAACAAACAAAAAAAAGTTGCATGTTAGTGGATTACAGATGCACACACTTCTGTTCCTCAAAAGGCATAAAATATAAACTTCTCTGGTTGTTAAAAGTCCATTTTTGGATTGATAATCACTCTTTTATGCTAAATAAAGTTTCGGTGATTGTTACCTCTTCCCCTCCTCTAGCAAGTAACCAACTTTATGTGGGTATGAGTTTGAAAAATTCCTATGACCGCTTGGGGTCAACTAAGGTCTAAGAACGCCAATTTACAACAATTCATATGTTAAAACACAAATACAGACATCTGACTTTACCCTATCATCTGTATGTGTGTGTAAAACTCGAATAAAGGAGATTCCCTTGATCTTTTGCAGATCGTCAATACCAAATCCCCCTCCCCCCCTAAAAAAAGAGGTAAAGATGCTGCACTGCTATTATCGCAGCAAACCTACTTTTAAAACACTCCCAAAAAGCTGATACTCTGAATCCAGGTGCAAAAAACGAGAATATGCTATCTTCCACAGTTATATTCCCTCTCACACATGCGACATCTGAATTATATACACAGACGGACCTATTCTGGACGACTGCAGTAAAATTTACACAGAAGAGGATTGAAAGATACGCCAGATGTACATAACGTGTCTATGAAGAATACGACAAATTGACTTATGCATCACGATCCACCAAATCGCAAAAACTAATGAAAACTTCAAATTTTGTTAATCGAGAATAGTATCATTTGATTATCTATTTACTCCACGCATTTCACGAACCGGAAAATCGAAAATATCCAGGAATGATTATAAGATTCGGCGATAATAACTAGAACACACGAAAACAAGACGTCGTTTGGTTAACTACTCTTATTTTTGTTAATCGAATAGATTATAATTCGGAAATATCTTAGACTAATTGCAAGGTCAAGTAGAATTGCTAGAACACACATAAAAACAAGACGGCGTTTGGTTAATCACACTTACAGCGTCACGAAGCTCGGGATTGAGCTGTTGAATAACAAGCGCGAAGCTTCTAGAAACCTTATGAAGCATAGAGTAACAGAATCCCCAGTGTGGCTCCGCCGGGATCTGTTTCTCAGCCTTCTTCGCCGCCATCTTCAACTTCAACAGCGGGTAAAAATCGTCCGGATGTTTCAACACTGCCTTTAAACTCCCCATTTTATCGTTGATTAATCAGATCAAGCTACTTTCCGTGCGATCCGATCGATGAATCGATTTACAGAGATTTTATCGAAATCGCAGATCGTGGTAACCGTTTCTCACGATTTTATGTGGTGATCTACAGATGTGCGTGAAAACTGGAGGTTGATGTGTTGTATGTGTTAATGTGTGTGTGTGGAGGAAGCTATTTATAGTAAAAAGACTTTGGGAGGTGTTGGAAAAGAATTGGTGTGGATGTATTCTACTCGTCGTGGAAAAAACGAATAACAAAGAAAAAACCCAAACAAACATTTTTACTCAATAATAAAAAATCGTTTCTATTTTAAAAATAAGATAAATTATATAAAAGACATTATTATTCATAAAAATTTAATTTGACAATGTATTATTTTTATAACTAAGATCATTTCCATCCTTTGACACTATTTTTTTAAATTATATATGTAATTATAATGTAAAAAAAATAATGTAAACACTAAATCTTCCAACTCATGACACTGTATTTAACTCTAAAAAAATGTTTTACGTATATTATTCTTTATTCAACACTATATTTAGGTGTTGTTTGTTTTTTTAAAGCCAAAATGTCTACAGTCTACGGACCACATCTGCAAGCCCCTGCGGCAGAAGAGGTGGATCAAATGTCTGCAGTCTGCAATAAGAAGTCTGTTTGTTTTTAACGTTCGCAGCTGTTGAAATAAACTGATTTTTCAAACTTAATTTTATGTCATAAACATTAAAAATGCATTTTCAGCAAAAAAAAAAAACTGCACGGTGGCCCATGTTTTTTTTATTTAGGTTAAAATGAGGCCTAGAGACCTTTGAAGACAGTGGCCCATGTCTGCGCTAGGAAGACCTCGCGCAGACGTTTTTTGATCTGCACATTTCCAAAAAACAAACACTTTGCGAGGGCATATGTCTGCGTATTGTCTGCACGGCGCAGACAAAAGTGGTTGCCCATATCTTCACAAAAAAACAAACAGCCCCTTAGTGGTATACTAAAATCCAACACTATATATAGTGTTAGTTATAGTACAAGGTTTTTTTAATTATAATGTAATTTATAGTGTAAAAGTGGTTTTTTTTAGTGTAGAGTTGGAGATTCTCTAAAAAATTAAGTTTTTATAAAATTTCGGTTTTGACACTATATTTTTCAGTTTCTTTCAAGATTTTGGCACTATAGCTGTCACATGATGTATGCGTCAATTTTGACAATGCATTTTTTCAATTTATTTCAAATATATAACATTCAAACATATTGGAAAATATAGTGTGGAAATCAAACTTTTATAAAAACTTAGAGTCTTAATAATTAAGAAAATAACACGGTGTTAAAATCATTTTTTTTATGAAAACTTGATGTCTTTATTGTAATTAGTCCTTAAAAAAATTGGATGTTTATTTATATACCATGTATTATGTATCAAAATTATTATTTTCCATACAAAATGTGCAATTAAATGTAATTTTATGGTCAAAATACAAAGGAAAATCGGTTACTACTAGCGACTAAATTTCTTTTACCAATTTGTATAGCAATGTTTTTTTATGAATTTATGCAATGGACACAACTTACGCAACTACATTTCAACAAGTTATATGTTTTACAAGTAAGGTCTTACATTATTTGTTTATAGGATGAAAAACATGGTTACATATTTTATCTATTGTTTTATTATATAAATTTGAAAACATATATTCCATTGCATAAATCATGTTGGCCTATAAAAATTTCAATGACTTGTTTTATATAGTTTTCTATTCAAAGATTTCTAATATGTCATCGTCACTATAAACCATTTTACTCGACCATCATTACTTTTAAAGTTTAACAAACATATTTACAAGTATCATATTTTATAATTTATATCGAGCATCATTATTTTTTAGGGGTGAGCAAACCCGAACCAAGAAACCGGGAAACCGACCAAAACCGACGAAACCGAAACCGAAGCAAAACCGATGGTTAGGGTTTCAAATTTTTAAAAACCGAAAAATCGGGTTCGGTTTCGGTTTTTGCCTAGAAACCGACTCATCCAACCCGAAAAACGACCAAACGGTTGAGTGCCATGTTTTTGTATATGTAATCATATGAATATATATAACTAAGGCGCGAATTACATATACAAACACCCTGTTGGCCCAGCGGTTGGGCGTCTTCCCTTTGAACTTGATGTCAAGGGTTCGAATCTCCCTGCTTGCCAAAATTTTCCCCAAGTTTTCTATTTTAATTTGCAACTTGATCTATCCCCATCGAAGGTTGTATGAAAGTTACGCATGTTTCACCCTTAATATAAGGAATCGTTACCTCTATCATTCCTCATATCAGTTTAATTGGGATTAACATTGGGTTAGGGTTTAAACCCAGAACCGACCCATGAAGAAACTGAAACCGAGAAACCGAACCGACAATTTGGGTTCTTGGTTCGGTTTTTATTTTTTTGAAAATCGATTTTATTGGGTTGGGTTCTGTTTTAGGTCAAAACCGACCCATGCTCACCCCTATTTTTTTAGAGTTTAGAAAAAAAAAGTTTACAAGTATCATATTTTATAACTTATTAGATTATGACCCGTGTTAAACACGGGAAACACATAAATAAAATACAAATATATATAGATATTGCAGAATAATTATAAAAAAATCAGGGTTATTGATGTTATTAAAATATGTAGAAAATACATTGAAATCGGTAAATATATATAGTCGTTGAAGGTCCTCTTTGTAGACAACATTTTTTGTTTTATTAGTTAAACGACCTTCCTCGTCACATATGAGTACTTTCAAACTTTTTTTACATGTGACACTGGAATCAGTTACATATAACCGATCATTCGTGAAAACAGGTATACGCAAGTATAATCCAACATTTGACAATGTACTTTCAAAATACATTGTTGTTTTATGGTTATATTGCGAAATAAAACTGTTTATTTAAAAAAAACAACTTATTTATGTTCCTTCAAAATGAACCACATAAACCCCCCACAATATTAAATATAAAGAAACTCTAACCAATAAATATAAAAACAATTATGTTTGCTCGATTTAGATATTGTCTGTGACTCATTGAAAATATCAAAAGACAGAATTGACATACAACTTACTTGTTATTATGAGACGGATTAAACAATTTAAACATATGAGGATGTCTTTTTTTATTTTATGATAATGATAAAATAATGGAAAAATGAATGTTTACTTCAAGACATTTGCGGACGTTTGAGTAACGTCTGTGGTCTTAACTGTTGAGTATTCGTATCTTTTACATATAACTATTAAATTGTTATTCAAGATGAATTAAAAAACAATGTTTTCTTTATTGCTTCGATGCTAAATAGATAAAAGAACAAAAAAAACTTGATTTTCGTTATATACCCATTTAGTACAAAAGTAGCCAACCGTAATTAAAGCAGGGACAAAACCATTAAGAAAATTGGCAAATTGAGGTTCTATTTCTTAAACATGTGATAAGGTAGAGAGATACCAGGACATGCCGTTAAAAACTCGAATTCTTTCATCACCGCCTCAATGGGTTCAACGGACAACCCCAAACAGATCAAAAAGTTAAAAAATTCAAATAAAGATTAATAAAATGGGGCCGAATTGGTGAGAATGTTAAAAAGATGGAGGTGTCGATAACTATAATTGGATGAATATGGGATATATTAAACGAGTTAAGATGGAAATCACCTATTGAGTAGATACTTGAATACAACACCAAATGATCATAAAAGGTTAACGAAAAGATGTGTTAATTGTAAGGAATGGAATTGAATGTTTTTGAAAGGAATGAAAATTTTCAAATGAGTATAGCATGTACCTCCGACTATCAGTCATAGACTAATTGTAGCAAATTTTGCATTATTTGACCAATTTTAGCGTTATTAGAATTCTAACTTTCATATAAAAAATTTCTTTTTTGCATCTGACCAGACTAATGTTTTTTTTATCATTATTATCATTCTGTAATTTACATTCTTGAGAGTTTTGAAACTATATTGCTATATATCGGTTGTTTTTTAAAGTTCATTGCTATTTCTTGTCGGTTTAGAAGTATGTTTCGACCATTTTTGCATCAGATAAAAAACATATAGGTTCTTTTAGTTACTGGAATCCTACTTTCATATAAAATTATTCTTTTTCGCATTAGACCAAACTCGATGTTTTTTAGCGTTATTATCATCCTATATTATACATTCTTGATAGTTTTGAAAAGTTCGTTGCAATTTCTCATTTGTTTTTGAAAGTTCGCTATTATTTCTTGTTGCTTTTAGAAACAAGTTTTAGACTATTTTTTGTATCTGACCAAATTTGAAGGTTATTTTCGCATTATTACCATCGTATATGTTCCATTTTATTTTTATTATTTGAATATAGTTTTTGTAGTTCAAACCGATACAAATATAAAAATACCGACTATATATTAACCGACTCTCTATAATGTATAATTTAAAATCAAGACAGTGTAATCATAACTTATCGATGTTAGTTAAAATGTAACTTATTTCAGGATGAGGTTACTTTTTGGTTATTTATTTAGGAAGCATAATATGTATTCTACATAACAAGTGCTTACCTTTTGAATTTAGCATTTGTTACTTTAGAATTTTATTTTGGCTTGAAATAGCCATGATCACCCCATATTTAATATTTTTCTCTTCTTGCACCTTTACTACCTGTTGACTTGCATTCACTATATCAAGATTTAACATTTTTTTTAAAGAGATCTAGACAAGAAACTATTAAAGTCAATAGATACGCTAAAAGAGACATGCTTGCCTTTTGTGAGATCAATAATACCAAATTGGACCACTTTCTGCAAAATAATTAAAGAACCGAAGAAAACCTGATTGACTAAATATATAATATCATTATTTAAATCATAACCTGTTACATGCTGACAAAATTGGAAATTTCAGCCAAAACTCTGTTACATGTCATCAAAGTTGAAAAAAGATCCTTTAAAGTTTGAAGAGGGTATTAATTTAAAAAACCGTCTCTCACTTTTTGTTGGGTGTATTTTCTGATGGGAAGAACAATTATCAGGCCAAACATAATCCTTAAAAACCATCATAGTCAAATCATAGATTGCTTAATCAACAAAATAGAATATCGCAGTCGTATATGGTAATCCAGTTAGAACATCTTTTTCTAAAAGATCAAGAAATGGACAATTTATTAGAATCTTATCATGTTGATAAAAGTCATAACAAATTGCAATAGATT